TTTCAATGTCAGTCCTCCTCTAGTAGGCGCCTTATTAATGAGAGTGGGTTTGTGTTAGCGACTGGTGGGAGCATAAGGTATCTTATATCGGGGGAAGACATTTAAATTACTATCAAACGTTTAAAAAAATTTCAATATATAAATCTGTATTTTTCAAGGTTGGTCGATACATGCGCACATATGTTAATTTCCCTCTCTAAATGTATCCCCCCTCTCTTTCCTTCAAAACCCTAAGTCCATCTCTTATTTCTTACATCTTTACTTCCCCCTTTTTTCTTTTTTTCTCGTTTTTCTTTTTTCCTTTTTTTTTTCTCTTGATATCGTTTCCGGTGAGTTGACCTATTAAGTGGATTAATGTCTGATCCTTACCCCCCCCCCGCTCCTCAATATTAAGTATTGTAATAAAAAATAAAAATGAAAATAAATTTAAAAGTATTCATATCTTTCCCTTCCCTCTCTAATTTCGTCCATGTCTGTCACACTATCTCTCACCACTCTCTATATCACCTTACATAAGCTTAATACTGCCCTTCAAAAGCTCAGAAGTAGCGCCGACTAAGAAATGTTTTCCCTTTGTCTTTATTCATATTGTCTTTTAACAGATATAACGCATTTGTATAAAATACTTGATGGATACTCTGGCAACACGTAACATTGCATTATCGAATTATACAGCAACTATCTTGAACTAATTCTCCGATAACGAACACAAACTTTGTCAGTAAAGACTTGAGGCAATTAATTGCTAATAAGCACGAAAAAAGAAAAATGATATGACAAGATTCCCAAGGAGTTGATTGTCGCTAAATCAGCCCTGCTACCGATCATAAAAAAATTCAATATGGCTGATGTGAAACATCTTCCGCGAGTTCGTCGTCATTGTTAAATCTCACCAACATGCATGCGCAAGATAATTAGGAACGTTAGTAAATATGTGGCACAGAATGATGTGAATGATAATTTATAATTATCCAGGCTGAATGTTAATCAGGTTACGCTAAAGTATACAGTGTGCTGCAGATACACCCGAAAAAATCATTGGATAATAAAAAATAGCGTTTTTTATATAACAAATTTTACCGACACACCCACACCTATATATGTGTGTGTTTCTATCTCAGTGTATACGAGACCATAGCCTTACTTGAAATTATTATCTGAATGCTGATTTTAAATTTTCACTTGAAATGTTCGACCGACAGATGGAAAAAAATGGAGAAAAAAAACTATATATATTCAGATAATCCGTTGCCTGTAGTGGGATTAACATATGCATTGAGAGCGAGTGGAATTACCATACTGAAATGGAATGAGGACATTCATGATGATTTTCTTGTCGAATTTCTTTAACTTCTATAGCCAGGTGATGCTAATAGAACGGGAAAACCGTAGGAAGAAAGGACTAACCATTAACTATAGAATATATGGTTGTCAGCAAAAGGGACAATCCAAGATGTGTGTTACATATCGGGAGCGTTAAAATAACAATCAGATATGGAAATTTAACTATCTGGGTTATTTCCTATTACTTTAAACATTATATTTAGTGGATACACGTATTTTAGTAGACGCCCTGTTTTTCCTTTCCCTCTTTTAACAGTGTTAATTTATGTCTACCGGACTGTGCATTCAAGAGTCTTAATAAGGAAAGTATCAAACAGACGAATTTGAAGATATCAAGATATAATTATGCAGTAGGCAATGCAACCGGAAATAATGACTTTTTTGTTATATTAAACACTCCAGACAACAAATATTTCGAAACACTGAACGAACAACCACTGTATACACATTGAACAAGGACATTAAAAGACATTTTTTTAACCATTTTACTCCAAGCAAAGCAATAAAGACACTAAGACACAAGGGATTACTGAATGTGAAAGAATAAGAAAAGAGAAAACCATTATTAAGGAGCGAGAACAATAAATGGAGACAGTAGATAACGATTGACATTGCATTTGTCATATTCACGACGTTTCGGCCGTTGTACGCTCCGACCTTCGTCATGTGATACTAGTTGAAATTTCGAATCGAACCCTTTATTTAGTCCACGGGGGTTGTTTGTTCTTACTCCACGTGCCATGCCTTTAGATCAAAGTTGACTGGAAAGTATGAAGCCGGAAGAGAGTTCCACGGGGAAGAAGTGCGAGAAAAGAAACCGTTAGGAAAGAACATCTAGCCGATTCAACTGTAAAATGATGAGACCTTGTTGCCGATCTAGTACTGCGCTTAAAGTCTAGGTACTATAAATCAAGACATTTAGCATGAAAGTATTTATAGAAAAGGCAGAAGGAAGCTACATTATCATGATGGGAACGTGACTGAAGCCGAGATGCTTGATAAAATTATCGCACACAAAAAATTATAACTATTCTCTTCTGAAATAACTGAAATTTTATATCAAAACCCTTGCGTTTTAGTGGCGTTACCCCTTGCTTGGAGTGAACTGATTTAAAAAGAAAATAATATAAAATGGTCAAACGGAAAATAAAAAAGATGGTAATTTTTCAAAAGATTTCTCTGTATATTTCCATTATTTTTTGTACAAAACTTTGAAGCGCTTGGAAGATTTTCGTGTGTTCGCAAAGCACAGGAAGTCTGGTGAAGACTGATATTTAAACTGTTGAAAATGAGAAATCACACTGATTTGCAGTGTGCCTTCAAGCCGAAACAGTTCACATGATGATGACGACCTTCCTATTGAATGAATGAAACACTAGCAAAAGAATATTAAGAATGTTAAACATCCAACCGGTTTTCACAAAATTACATTTTACATATTTCGTTCGGATATTTCATAATAAAATGTAATGTAAGACAAAAAAAAAAAGTTTAAAATTTGTCGATTTATATTTCAGCATATATATTTTCATTTCTGGAAGTTTAAACATTTTCATCGGTTTCTCATCTATAAGTTGACCAAACTGTCAAAGAAATGGCCACATTTCAGAAATAATTTATTTTACTATCAATAAATTACTCCATTATAATTGTAAGCATTGGACCGGGTCGCTCGGGAAGTTTTTCACCGACAAGACAACTTCACATCACGCAGTAAATTCATTCCCGCCTGCGTTTGTGCTAACGGGACAGAGCTAAGTTCACAAGGGAACGAAAGGTGAAATCTCATCACGGTGGTGAAAAAAAATAAAAAAAATATGAAACCCGTTTTCAATAATACTGGTTTCTTTACTCATTGGCCGAGTGGTGGGGGTGGGGGAGTTACGTATGTGGCACTTAGGTTCTCTCGTTTGTTCTTCTTCCGTCGAGCGACTGCTATCGACTCTCTTTGCTTACTCTATAACTCTGACTCTTATCTAACTATTTAAATCCAGTACCGGATTTCTCTACGTTCCGGGTGAGTGTCACTTGATCCCATAACTATTTATATTTATTTATTTTATTTCCTGCTTGTGGATAACGAGCGGTCATTTTGTAGCTTTCACATGTCGATTTTAATGGCTTAAATAAAATTATTTACAATCCACTTGAGTTTGTGGGTGCCAATCGATCGGGAACCCATTGTATCACATAGCTCTTGCTTAATGCATGTCACATTGCATTAAATAGAAACAGATCTCGCAATGCATTATTAGCGTTGTATATGTGCGGATGGTTTAAACGGATAGCCGCTCGTAACCGGAAATATGTGAGACGAGTTCGAATTCCACTCAAGTTTCGTTAAATTCACGTACGCGCGAATACCCTTTAAAAATGTTTTAATCGCGAGATCATACACAGTAACTCTGTGTCCAAGTTCGTAAAAAACTTCACCGTTCTTGACAAACATTCTATTATCACAAAGTGGCTTGGATTGAGGAATCGGAGAGCTGAGTTCGAATACATTTCTATCTATATCGATCTTTTCACTTTTATCTATCTTGGCCTTTTCATTTCTATCTCGATCATTTCGTTTCTATCTATCTATCTATCTATCTATCTATCTCAATCTTTTCATTTCTACCTATATTGATCTTTTCACTTTTATCTATTTTGATCTTTTCATTTCTATCTCGATCATTTCGTTTCTATCTATCTATCTATCTATCTATCTATCTATCTATCTATCTCAATCTTTTCATTTCTATCTCGATCTTTTCGTTTCTATCTATCCATCTATCTATTTCGATCCTTTCATTTCTACCTCGATATTTTCGTCTCTAACTCAGCCTTTTCATTTCATCTCTTTCATTCTTTCCTTCTTTCTTTCTTTCTTTCTTTCTTTCTTTCATTCTTTCCTTCTTTCTTTCCTTCTTTCTTTCTTTCTTTCTTTCATTCTTTCCTTCTTTCTTTCCTTCTTTCTTTCTTTCTTTCATTCTTTCCTTCTTTCTTTCCTTCTTTCTTTCATTCTTTCTTTCTTTCTTTCTTTCTTTCTTTCTTTCTATCCTCGTTCCTGTTCTCGAATCTCTTGCTGACTTAGTAATTCCCCTCTTTTATTTCAGCACATTAAATCAGTGTTTGCGCCTATACAGACAAATTCAGTCGACACATTAAACCGACCTCGTATCAAATGTTTCCACCGTGTAAAGGCACATACATAAGATACAGGCAAGCTCGCACACACACACACACACACACACACACACACACACAGGCCAAATTTCCAACTCCCGCTAACCTCACGCTCATATAAACACTCCCCAACGATTATACATTATAAAGACCAACTGTGTAACAAGGGAGAAAGAAGCAAAATCAATTTATCAATTTATTGATCAATAAAATAATCAATGATTCATGTCAGTAGCAAACTTTACTCGGGGCAAAACTACAATGCTTATTCATTCCACACCGCTAACCTCTGGGAACCGCTCTTCTTTCTCGCCATTCCACCCGCTCTCTTGCGTTGTGGACACATTGAAAACCCACCCCCACCCCGCCAATTATTCAAGGCTTTTAAATCAGTCACTTAAACACTCTTAAATCTTCACTTTTTTTTGCTTCCGTTTTCAGACTTTTAAACAATGACCACTTCAATGCGCATCAATTAGAAATACTTAAGTTGAATGGCAGGAATAATGACCAAAATGATAGATAGATAGATAGATAGAAAGATAGATAGATAGATAGATAGATAGATAGATATTAACGGACTGGGATAGATAGATAGATAGATAGATAGATAGATAGATAGATCATTAGAAATACTTAAGTTGAATGGCAGGAATAATGACCAAAACGATAGATAGATAGATAGATAGATAGATAGATAGATAGATAGATATTAACGGACTGGAATAGATAGATAGATAGATAGATAGATAGATAGATAGATAGATATCAGAAAGGACTGAAATAAATAGATAGGACTGAAAGAAATATGGCAGATGGATAAGGGCTGAGATAGATCTGAAAGAAATAAAATAGATAGATAGATAGATAACAACTTTGGATAGAAATGAATGAACAAAACTTCAATTTTTCTCTTTATCTCTCAGAAACGTATATATCAGTATTATTTGTCTATTAATTTTTTTTAGCAAATTTTCCTTGAACGCGAACAGCTGATTTCTTTTCTGGACTTAACGCGTGTCGAAATTGTCACAATGATAGTTGATGCCGGGTGTTCCGACTAACCTGTTAGCCATTCGAAAGGATTTTACTTATTCTTCTATAATAAATGGTATTTAAGTGTTAAAAGTTATAATATATAATATATGGAAATCTAAATTACAAGCACCTGATATTCAAACACTACGGTTATTCCAGTAATTATAGGAGCGCTAGGAACGATTAAGATGAATACTCCTAAACATGAAGAAAATACCAAGAAATCCAGAAATCCATCCTTATCTGAAAGGCAAAAGATTGTGTTAATGAGTACTTAGAAATGAACCAAGATTGTAATAATGAATTCTTAGAGCAATTACTGTATTTGTCGGCTTATAAGGCGCATTTTTTTGTACTAAACATATCTTTTAAAATTCCCCTGCGTCTTATACAACCGTGCGTCTTATACATCCGTACGTCTTATACAACCGTGCGTCTTATACATCCGTACGTCTTATACAACCGTGCGTCTTATACATCCGTACGTCTTATACAACCGTGCGTCTTATACATCCGTACGTCTTATATGCCGTCAAATACAATATTCTCAACCGCTATGCTGCGGCATCCACTTATGTGTATCACGAAATATTGTCACAGTATACATATATATGTGTCTGTGGAAGTAGTAAATGTACAACGTTAGTATTTGAATAAATGAATAGGTATAAAACTTTTTATCCCACATTAGCTAAAAAGGCTTTATCAGTTTTATTGCAATTTTCTACTTCTTATTTGGGTGAATTAGGCTTCTCAACCACAAATAATGTCAAAAATATCGCAAATGAACGTTGCAATTAGGGTGGTTCACTGACTTTATTTACCTGTGTAACTTATCTAATTTTAAATGGACACTTAGCGCAGTCTTTATAGAAGTGGAATCTGCATGCCAAGTTCAAATTCCGGCTGCGATCGGAGTGTTGTCTCGCTCCTTTTCTTCTTCTCATCGTTCATGCGTTAAATAGCGCGTAGATTGGGCTCTCTAATCTTGGTTGGCAATCAATTTAGGAGAAGGAAAACTGTGAATTCAAGATAAAACATTCGACTGTACGCATTGATACATTTTGGATTTCAAGGCAAAAGGAATATCCCACATTATCTAAAAACGCTTTATTTCAGTTTTATTTCAATTTTCTGCTTCTTATGTGAATTAGGCTTCTCAACCCTAAATAACATCAAAAATAAGAAATGAGAAAGACTACACTCAACTGAAGAATAAATGAGAATCTGCTTATCGTATTTTAAACCAAACATTGAAGAAGTCGTCAAAAACACCAAGCACAGGTTTCATACTAAATAAGCTGCGCAAATAGATGAATAGAAGCATTGAAATAAGTTCATATTTGTGTGTATATATTTGTTAATCTATAGTTTTATTTTATAACATTTAAATAAATACCCTTTAAACATGTTGCTAAGTGTGCTTTGATATTTTCATTTGCTCATACGTGTGCCGTTGCTTAAAAAGGTTGAGAAATACTGGTCTTATGTGTTAAAAAAATAAACGGAAATATTACCAATAATAAAAAATCTTGTCGGCATTAATTAACCCAATGAGTTTGACATGCCGTAAAACAAACCACACCAAAGCATAGACTGATTTATTCGAACTAGTTTCCACATACTGGTTGCTACACCTACAACATTTCAGAGATTCTAAACTTTATTTTCAGGTTTTTGCCGTATTCGATAACTTTCTTAGAATTTCTTATCCGTGCACTTAATTCATTTCTATACGTGTCTATCTAGACTAATACCTTGCATTTCTACACGTGTCTATCTCGACTACTACCTTGCATTTCTACACGTTCCTATCTCGACTAATACCTTGCATTTCTACACGTGTCTATCTCGACTACTACCTTGCATTTCTATACGTGTCTATCTCGACTAATACCTTGCATTTCTACACGTGTCTATCTCGACTACTACCTTGCATTTCTATACGTGTCTATCTCGACTACTACCTTGCATTTCTATACGTGTCTATCTCGACTAATACCTTGCATTTGTACACGTCTATCTCGACTACTACACGTGCCTATCTTGACTATACTATCAAGTGTGTTCGAATTCAGGAAGAAATGACTTGTAATTATATTGAGGAAGTAACTGGGGGCTTCAGGAGACTTGTTGTCCCTCCATCTCCAGCGATAATCTGTTATGATTATCCAAATACACATGAAAAAGCACGATGATCTTAACTAAGGAAATATTGAGTCTGTTAAGCCAATGGAGGTGTTGTAAATATATTGAGAAAGCTACTGGAGAGTTGAGGAATTTTGTTAACCACAGTACACTGGAACGAAGATGCAAACGTATTTAATAATAAAAACCAACAACTCGGAAGACAACTGATTAATTCTCATTTTATGTGTCGTTTCCCTTCAGGGCGTAGGCGATTATGGCTCTCCACATCTTCCTGTCTCGTGTAGCTCTAAATAAGTTTTGTCTTTTTGTTATTTCTTTCGAACCCTTTTCTGCCATTCATTTACTGAAGCTCATCAAGTATGTTTCGCGCTGTTTTACTCTGTCCATCTTACCCTCAATCTGTCCTGTGAGTATCAGATTTTCCAAGCCCCCTTTCCTCATTATGTGCCCTAGAAATTTCAACTCCCTCTTCCTGATGTTAAGTATAAGTTTCCGTTTTGCTTCCATTTTCTCTAAAACTTCGTCGTTGCTCACATGTTTGGCCCATGGTATCCTCATGGCATTTATCAAACTGATGACTAGTATTTCCTTCATGAGAAAAAGTTTATATCATATATTTTGCTCTTTGCTATCTATGTATCTATAGAAAGATGATTAGTATTTCTTTATGAACGGAGGTAATCCTCATCATACGTAGATATTCCTGTTTGATAAATATATAATTATATCTGGCCTCTCGTATTCGAGGATAGCCGTCTACTAGGGTAGCCAATCCCTATTGCAGACTCTCGCTCAGGCACATTTGTGTTTGTTCAACACCCACAGAGCCAACCAGTGGTTTATATTACTATACTGAGCAGACCTTAGTTACAGTTTCTGGGAGAGAGCGTGTTATCTAAAATGATCAACATTCTGAACAGCAGCATACTCACACCCTCGGACACGATGACTCGTGACTTCGTGCTAGCACAGCTATCGACGGCCCCCTAGGGTCCTGTCTACAAGGCACATTCCAAAGGATCGCTGGTATCGTCCCCCTGCAGACCGATAACATCAGGAGGTCTCCTTCCTGACAGATCAACTATGGTGAGATTCGAACCCGGGTCTCGTGGTTATTGTTATGTTTTAGCTAGGTAAATATGAGGAAACGCACATATAAAGAGTAATACGAACAAAATCGAGTAGACAGAAATAATTCATGAATCTATATATATATATATATATATATATATATATATATTCTTAAATTCTGAAGTTCCTTTGTTTATCTATATTATTATTTTACTGGGTATATTAAATAGGTTATCTCATTTTCTCATTTCCTTTCCCTTCTATTACTTTCCCCTCTGACCACCACTCATATCAAGACTTACACCAATTCCTGTTGCTGTTGCCACCTCCCCTTTTTTTCTATTCTTCATCTTCTTTTTTTCGTTGGTTTCCATTTTTCTTCCTTTCCTTTCTTCCCCTTGTCTGTTTTATTTTTTTTTTTCAAAACTTTATCATCCATTGACTGTTTGAAAAATCCTGTAAAATTTTTTTTTAGTTTTACAAGGTAAAAATTATCATATATATATATATATATATATATATATATATATATATATATAAGGCTCGAACACTAATATTTTATGGTTATAATTTATTTCATTGGGTTCGTAATAATGACCAACTCTTCAGACCTACAAATTCAAAAAGAAATAATATTAATATTATCTCTCTCTCTCTCTTCTCTCTCTCTCTCTCTCTATATATATATATATATATATATATATATATATATATATTTGTCTGTTCATTGTTATCTATGTGTCTATCGATTTATTTCAGTCTGTTCATTGTATGTATGTATGTATCTATCTATCCGTCACTGTCAGTTCATTGCTATATATCTATCTATCTATTTCTGTCTGTTCATTGCTATCTATCTGTTTTAGTCCGGATATATTTTCTCATCGCTTTGTCTCTCAATGTTTTTTTCATTATGTTTTTTTTTTTTAATTCTCTTCGGTTTGGGTTAGCTAATTCCTTTCTGTAAAAGATTTTTCATGTTTTAGTTGAGTTTCGTTCATCGCCAAAACCGCCTCATATAACCCCCGCCTGCCTTCTCATTCTCTTTCCCACTCGAGACACCGTTTAGGGTAAAACCCTTTTTGTCTTTCTCCAACCAAAATCTCTGAACGTCCCCACACTCGGACTACTTGCCGTGAAATTCCTATGACGCACGAAGGCAAATCCAATATTTTTCAACTGAAAAATTCATAGAAGAATAATAAAAGAATCTTGCAGTTTTTTAGACAATTTTCTCATCGCCGACCAAAGATTAGCCGATGGCACTGGCCTAAAAGGTTCGCTGTCGAAAGAAGGCACGTATGAAATCAACAATATCTCGCAGCCAGAACGATTTTCTTCCTTTTTTTCGACGATTTATTTAGCTATTCGTATTTTATATTTTTATACTTTTATATTTTTCACCTAAATGTTTTTTGACTAAATGTTAAATAAACTTTTCCGAGTGCAAAAAAAAAAAAAAAAAAAAAAGAAAAAAAAGGAAGATATTTATCGGTATTTTAAATAAAATATTTTGGAACCTGCTCCGTAGCCCAAAGTCTTGGAGTATTGAAATTTGAGACAAGTAAAAGATGAAGCCACAAACGATTTCCAATGAAAGCCGGCATCTCATCCACCCAAAACACTTTTTGTCAATACTTGAATGCGGTTTTATTCACAAATTTTATTTCAATAACATCTTACGCCTACTTAAGTAGATTGGTCCACTGGTAGGGAAAAATGAATTTTTCTGAAAATAAGTTTTGTAACGGCAACCTTATCGCTAACAGGGGGAGGAGTTGGGGATAACAAACAAGAAATGGAGATATAGTGATTTTCCAAGCGTAGCTTAGGTGTGGCACAAGGCCGGAAGTAGGGAGAACTCAGTGAATATCGAACTCATTACTCAGTGGTAATTGTTCTAGCGAGACAAGCATTCTAACAATTACACCGTCTCGAGGCTACCGAATGATTTTCTAAACGCAGCTTAGATGTGGCACGAGAGATGGGTAAGGATCAAACACACTATTCAATTACTTGATCTAGCGAGACACGCGTGCTAACCACTACACCACGTCGAGGGACCCAAGCAATGGAGATCTAATATGGTTGAAATGAGTAAAAGATTTTATTTCCCGTAATTTACAAGGTGCAATCGTTTGCTTGTTCTGGTGTATCATATATCAGTCGTGGGAGACTGAGAGTTCGTAACACAAGTTAAGTTTGAGATAAACAAGTGTAGAAACGCAAGATAGTAGTCGAGAGAGACACGTGTAGAAACGCAAGGTAGTAGTCGAGAAAAACAAGTGTAGAAACGCAAGGTAGTGGTCCAGTTAAACAAATGTAGAAACGCAAGCTAGTAGTCAAGGTAGACACGTATAGAAACGCAAGGTAGTAGTCGAGATAGACAAATTATTGAAATTATTACGGAGTCTCTAACTGGGTGCCCTGTGATTGGATAAAAAACAACCAATCACAGGCTACCTTTTTAGACTTTCACCAAATCCCCACGTGAGCGTTTTTTACAAACGCTCTTCCTCTTTTGCTTGTCGGGAACCTCAGAGATAACACGTTCCCCATCTGCACTCCGTCATCTAAACATCAGGACACGTGTGAGGACTTCGACCGCAACTGAAGCACAGGAGTCAGGACTCTATTTACTTCAACCAAGCCAAACAGGAAAGATAAAACTGTTATAAGGACGCATTTTGCAGATAAGTCCCGCAAACCGACTGTTTGCAATTTGAAACTTTACTTCTGTTTTCCTACAAACTTTACTTCTGTTTTCCTACAAATACATGTTTTTTTCATACATTTTTCAACTGTGTTTGTGTTCCTTTCTTCTTGCCGGCGTCACAATATTTTTGTTACCAATATAATTGGGAAAATCCCAATAATATGTAGAAACGCGAGGTTGTAGTCGAGATAGACGTGTAGAAACGCAAGGTAATATTCAAGATAGACACGTGTAGAAACGCAAGGTAGTCGTCGAGATAGACAAGTGTAGAAAAGCAAGGTAGCAGTCGAAATAAACAAGTGTAGGAACGTAAGGTAGTAGTCGAGACAGACAAATGGAGAAACGCAAGGTAGCAGTCGAGATAGACAAGTGTAGAAACGCAGGGTAATAGTCGAGACAGACAAATGGTGAAACGCAAAGTAATATTCAAGATAGACACCTGTAGAAACGCAAGGTAGTAGTCGAGATAGGCGCGTGTAGAGGACCGTCGTGCATATGTAGTCAAGGAAGATAGACTCGCAGGAGAAATATTCCCCGAATTATCCGAAGGAGCATTACAATAGCGAAACATGCCTTTTAAAAACTAAAGAAAGAATTAAGAAACAGAAAACTATTCGTTAAGAACAAAGAAAGGAATACTGAACTGCTATGTAATATCAATCCTTCTATATGTAATAGATACTGGAAAAATTCCTCACAGACGAAGAGGAGACTTGAGTCCACAAAGATGTGGTTCTACAGGAGGATGCTGAGTATACTATGGAAGGGACATGAGAGCAACATGAGAGCAACGAAGAAGTTTTAAGGAAAAGGGAACAAATATACGCTTATAATTAGAATCAGAAAAAGACAATAGAAATTTCAGGGATTTATAGTGAAGAAGGGGGTTATTGGAGAATTTGACCCCCACAGGACGATCGAAGGCAAGAGGTGCAGCGGCAAACAGTGAGTAACCTAACTGATGAGATTGCCTAAAAAGTTGGCAGAACAAGGAGTACTATGAAGGGTAGAAGACAAACATTACTTAAGAGTTACGAAGGATAAGAAGTCGTGGAGATCCATGCTCAGACGTCCTGAAAAGACACGGCACACAAAATAATAATGATAATGACTCATCATATCGTTGATGAACATATAAAATAAGTTTTTTATGGCAGTAATATACATAAATCGCAAAAGATACTATTCATTTATAATTTAGTTTAACCAGATGCACTGCAAATGAATAAAAGAAAAGCAATAAAAATATATTCCATGGAGTATTGCTGCCATATATGGTCTGGAGCCCCTTCTGTTTGCCTCGGGGTTCTTGATAAGATCCAGAGGCGGATATGCAATATAATTGGCCCTGTTCTGGCATCTCGTCTACAGTCGCTCTCTCACAGACGCGCCGTCGCCTCTCTTTGTCTTTTTTACAATATTTTCATGGCAATTGCTCCGAGGAGCTGCATTCGCTGGTTCCCAGACTTCATGAATTCAAGCGCCCTACAAGGCTGGCATCCCGCTCTCACCCTTTCACTGTTGAAACTATTAAATGTAGCCGTCTCTTCTACTCCAATAGCTTCATGTCTCGCACCTCTCGCCTGTGGAACTCCCTTCCCTATTCCTGTTTCCCTGAGAGCTATAATATCCAGCTATTTAAATGTAATGTCAATAGACATCTTCAGTTACCTTGATCTATCCACTACCCTCATCCTTTCCTCCATCACTCCTATCTGCTCTTGCTCCAACTCTCTGTAACCCCTTGCGTCCTAGTGGCTTCCCGCCTTGCTTGGGGTGAAATGCTTAAATAAAATATATATATATATAATCTAGGGACCCCCACTGACTTTTCGATACCTAAGATTTAAAATTAATTTTTTTAAAAAGGAAAAAAGCTTTCTTGAAGATTTCATTTTACCTTTAACTGAAAGCTAAATGATTAAATTTACTATTTCCAGTAAGTAAAATATCCTGGTGTACTTTGAATAAAAATTATACAGATTGGAATCTCAACTTTTCGGCCCATTTAAGAAAATTTTCTTAAAAGCGGCCATTTTCTTAATTTTAAGAAATTTGTAAACAAAACAAAATTAGCGATTTTTAAAATCTTCCAAAAATCAGATATATATTTGTGACACGTTATTTGAGTAAAATTGGCAAATTCAAAGTTAAATTAATCTGATTAATCTTGAAACAAATATTACTTACTTATAGCATAAAAAAATATAGTATACAAGCATTTCTTAACAACAGTTCTTCTTTTGATCATGTCTTTATTGACGTTATTGACATCACCGATAAGTTACGAGGTGATGACAGCTAGCATGGATGACCAGAATTGACATAAATTTACGAAATCTAAGTGGACGCATTTTTTGATTTAGTAATTTTTAGAAATTAACATAATATTTTCAGTAATCATCTAACATTTTATTGACTTTTATTTACGTTTGAAGATACTTTACGAAAAAATAATAAAATTTAAAATAATATAAAATTTTCAAAAATAATAATATTTAAAATTTTACTAACTGACATAAAATACCACGATAGAAGTAAAAATCGACAATTTATGAAATGTTACGGTATTTTATTTATTATATTATTAATTGTTATCATGATGGTTATTTTATTATTAAATTTTTATAGTACTTTAAATTTTACTTTTAATTACATAATTGTTTAAACTTATATTATTTTAACCGAATACCCTTAACAATAATTATTTTTTTAAGGATTGTGTCATGTATAGGTTCTCATAGGTAGAAACTGGGAATGCTTAAACATTATTTTTATTATTATTATTTTTAAAATATTGGATTACAAACAACTGATATGACCTTTTCAATTTTTGATTCAAAATGTACTTTTCACTTAACAATATCAACAAATCGCCGGCTTCAAGCAATACAGAATTTTAAATGATTTTTTAATATTATGAATTATTTAATTAAAAATTTTTAAAAATGAAAACAATTCTTGTAAAAATTAATTATTCATCGAAAAAAAAAATTTCTTAAGACAATAGTATCCTTAATAAATCTTATTTATCAAAGTAATTAAAAGCTTTCCTAATTAAATAATGACATAGTTTTATTCCATTTATTTTACAATTCAGAGCAGATTTTTGGTGAATGGGTTAAATGTTTTACAAAAAAATTGATGATTTACTATCTCCGAGGAGTCTTGCTTATAACTAATAAAAAAAAAATCCCCGCCCTTAAATATTTAATTTCTCGAAATTTTATGAAATTAAGTAAGTGGGTGGTAGTGTATGTAAACAAAAACATTTTTCCTAAAAAAAAAAAAAATAATATTTCATTCATTTCTGAATATGTCCCGAAAGTTTCATTAAAATCCCATAATTATTTGATTTTTGAAAGAATTTCCAAATCAATGTGTTTTCATCGGAAAAAGCGCAAAAAACAACCCTTTATCTTGGATCAGGCGCTGACGTAAAATAAAACAAGATTTTTAATCAAAATTTCAAACTTACTACAAAGGAGTAAAAAAAACTTTTAAAAAATAATAAAAAAATACTTTGGTCTTTCCTCTGAATAATAACATAAACATTTTAATGACAAAAAACTTTGTTTTTATTGTTTGGGGCCTTTTATCATCATGCTATAGATAACGGTTCGGATCGAGGAATCGGAGAGCCGAGTTCAAGTTCCAGTCGAATCCATTACATTCACTTATGTGCAAATACCTTTGGGAAAGGTATGAATCCTTTTCTTCTCTCTCCAGCTATGGGTAAATAGCAGGGCAGAGTGGGTTCTAAGGCCTTGCGCAACTGGTTTACTGCAGAAAGAAATGGCAACCCGGGAAAAATCTGCCTCGTCAGTCATGTATCGAAAGATACACGATCGCTTAAGCGTGTGTCACTCATGGCTCATAACTGACTGATGCTGTTTTTTTGGGTTTTTTTGCGCGCGACCAAGTGGAGGTCTCTAAATTATAATCCTACAGACAGTAATCTTAAGATTAGTCATCTTAATTTTCATTTATCGCTATCAGTGTGGTCGTAAGGTGGTTGCGAGGCTGAGTACCTGACGAGTTGCCTCTACATGTCTTATGTAAAAGGCAGAGAGGCATTTATTCATGAGGTTGAGTGTCTTCCGGCTTTTAAAACAAATATTCAACGTTTTTCCTTTCTAAAAATAAAACCTCATTTAACAAATATAGAATGAATTTCTTTTGGATAATGCATTATTTGAAACAAATATTCCACGTTTTCCTTTCTAAAATTAAAACTCATTTAACAAATATAGAATGTTTTTCTTTTGGACAATGCCTTATTTGAAACAAATATTCAACGTTTTCCCTTCTTTAACAAATATAGAATGCATTTCCTTATTTAACAAATATAGAATACATTTCTTTTGGACAATGCTTTATTTGAAACAAATATTCAACGTTTTCCTTTCTAAAAATTAAACGTTATTTAACAAATATAGAATGCATTTCTTTTGGACAATGCCTTATTTGAAACAAATATTCAACGCTTTCCTTTCTAAAAATTAAATCTTATTTAACAAAGATAGAATGCATTTCTTTTTGACAATGCTTTATTTGAAACAAATATTCAACCCTTTGCTTTCTAAAAGTAAACCCTCATTTCAACACATCCACTGAACACATTTGCTATTATAAATTTAACTAATATTCTATATTAAAAATAACTGAATTAATTAAGTTGACGTATTAATTATTGCTACTACAAATAAAAAGATGCGTACCCATTTTGGGAACACTGTAGTGTATCTCGACACATCTTATTAGAAGTGGGGGGAAATTAACTCATCTTTGTGGAAGCGGGGAAATCAGCTAGAGAACGTTGTACGTAAATCGTAAATCAGAATTCTTAGACGCATAGAATAAATTCGATGCGTGTTGTTAAACTGTAAGTATGGCTCTCAATAGAAATTCTCACAGGCAGCTGCTCCTGCTGAAGCTGACTGCGTTTAATCAATTTCGTCACCGGCAGATGTCTTTCCTTAAAGACGACACATTCGGAACCCATAGCTTACGATTAGGATAAGGAAGACGTCTATTTAATAAAGATCCACGAACGAACAGAACTCTACAGAGGCAACCGCCCACATGTATGGTGATTTTGTAAGCGTAGCTTAGATGTGGCGTGGGGCCCGAAAGCATGGTGCACTCAGTGTGGACCGAAATTACTACTCAGTTTTAATTGATCGAACGAGACAAACTTGCTAACAATTACGCCACGTCGCAGTACCAAAACCGTCAACACATCGTGTGTACGGGCCTCTTACGTAGAGATAGTGATTTTCTAAGCGCGGCTTAGATGTAGCACAAGGCTGGAAGTATGGCACACCCAGTGAGGATCGAACTCACTACTCAGTCGTAATTGTTCTAGCGAGACAAGCTTGCTAACCATTATAGTACGCCGAGGTGCCCCTCTTACGTAGAGATAGTAACGGGATGCGAGTTCGTCTCGCGAAACCAGTCGCTTGTGGTTCAAGCTCGAAAAACAATTCAAGCTTAAGGAAAATGACTAATGAAGATCAAAAACGGATAGCTCGCAGAGACAACCTCCAATAGATATGCATGTGTACGGGCCGCTTTTGTAAAGTAACTTGTTGCGAGTCGGTCCCGTAAATCTAGTCACTCGTGGACCAAGTTCGAATGATTATTCGTGCATAAACAAGACAACGACTTAAGAAACCACAAATAAATAAAACATATATACACCTATGAGCTCTGTTGTAGAGTGATAGCAAGCTACTCCTGTTATAGTCAAGGTGAAAAATTTTTCTCAGACGATCACCAATTAAGGATGCTCCCAAATATCTTGGTGTGACTCTCAAGCTAAGATACACAGTGTGTAAACTCCTAACGGGACCCGACCAAATGTTTAAGGCCAGGCCACTGAGAAGCATACCTGTCGTACTGGTTATTATGGCACAAGGCCGAAGAAGAAGCCGGGAAAAGGCTGGTCGACACTGTTTATCCTTCATCTAGCTAATCTGATTCGGAACCCCATTCATTCTAACAATATCCACAATCACCACAAGAACCTATCGTTCTCCATCCAGTCCAGCATATGATGCAATACCACATATTCACAGGGATCCTACTAAAAAGAAACTATGATGTAAAAATTTCCCAATAGGTACAAATGTCTTCTTTTTTTTTTTTTTTCAATTTTTTTATAAAACTATATATTAAAAAAATCATGAAATGAAGGGGAAAGAGATGAATCCAATAACAAAATAAATGCAAAACGAAAAATAACATCTGTCGTACTAAACGAGGTATTTATTGTAGTCCATCTTAATTCACCAAGACAAAACGTAGCTGTTACCAGCTCCAGTCAGAAACTATGTTAACCATATCTGGTGGAACATCAAGACATTTTATTATTTTAGAAATTTCAAATCCTATATCTTTGCATATTGATAAGATGCTTTGGGTATTTTTATTTTTTTAAAGATTTTCGAAGTTACATTACAATGTGCAGGAACTATCATGTCAATAAGAAAGTACATTCTATTTTTGTGGTCTTTGATCACGATGTCTGGGCTGTTAGTTTTAATTGGTCTGTCTCTATGTATTGTAAAGTAACATGAAATTGTTACAGTTCTATGTCTGTAATCGGCTCTAGGTGGTGTTCGTAACATTTTTTTTTTTTTTTTACTTTCATTCCTATAAAACTTGCAGATTTTCCAGTGCAGATATTGGCCCAGCCTGTCATATCGAGTTTTATATTCGATGAATATTAATGCCATGGAGGAAAACAACATTTTCCTATTGTCAAGGACAGGGCACTTTTCAACCAAACATTTTTGGACACGTTGCAGCTTCTGAACGTATAAATGTGCATTTAGTGCTTCCTTGTTTATTTTTTTTAAGAACGATGATCCCGGCACAGGGACAATATTAATTTCTTCCACGGAGCTCAGATTTGGGGGGTCGGTTGTGGAGATTTATACATATCAATCCATTGCCTTTTGCATTGAACATTGCCATATGTCAATTATATTTGCCTGTGTATATGCGTGCGTATCTGCGACCGTCAATTTCTGTCCCGCATTGGCCTTATCAGTCACAGGCGTGCCTGCAATCGACATGAACAGATTCCTTCTTGATGTTCGTTTGGCGTAGTAAAGCCATGATGATATGTGCGTGTAATTTTTTTAAATGACATTCACGATTATGGCGGTAATGGCTGTCTACAGCTTTCTTTTGTCTTTATTATCTGTCAATTTCCATGAATTCTTGGGAAAGATAGTCACGTTGCATTCTGGGGAAAAATTGAAATTCTGAGAATTACTTTTGTTAGACTGGCTGCCACAAGGACAAATTACCCACTTTATTCTGCTATTTAATCCGTAGCTGGGGGAAAGTATTGAAGAGACATGCTCGTACATTTCCAAATGGCTTTTGTACGAAATTGAAAACAAGATGTCTAAATTTGCTGCGTCGTAATCTAATTCTTCCTTTCGCATGTAAATATATGCGTATATCTGTTTCTATTAGTATATGGACATACATACACACAATTATATATATATATATATATATATATATATATATATATATATATATATATATATATATATTCTTTGTCACTTTAACAGTCAACTATAAGAAAAGCATGAACGTCAGATGGTTTCTCTTGGCTATTCAGAATTAATTCCCTCAACCGATCAAATGTTTCCTCCCTATCCGTCAAAAACTCTCATATAGCAGCTGCCAGGTTTGGGGATACGCACATATATAAGTCGTTGTATCGCATCGTATAATAAAATATCATAGCGTTTTTCAATATTGGGTTTCCTTTCGTATCTCAAGTGCCCTCTTTTCATTGATTTCGAAACCGGTTTTCATCACTGACTCCGTCTCTACCGTCCTCGACATAGCTAGTGTTTGGTCGACGTCAATCAAAGAATCAGAGAGTCATTTGTTAGAAGAAATAGCCCATCGGAGTTCTATTAGCGACTGTGTTTTGCAGATGCGAAAAAAACTTTGTGATAAACAGACTCAATTTGTAATGGCTGCGCCGATTCGTGCCATTCTCGCCACCATTTGCATTTGTAAAAACATCAACGTACGCCTTTCACGGGATTAGCTTAGCACAACGGTACAATGAATCGACGTTTTACGCTTGAGTTATTTTTACGGGTTGTCGAGGATTGGGTTGGTGGAAACGTGTGGTAATAAAGAAAGAAGAAGATAGAGTAAGTCAATCAGGAGAAAGAAAGAAAGAAAGAAAGAAAGAAAGAAAGAAAGAAAAAAAAAAAAAAAAGAGAAGCAGGTAAAAAAAGAAATAGACGGTCTCCGTCTTTTTCTTTTTTTTATATGAAAGAAAGAAATACAAGCAAGGGAAGGAAAGAAATACAAAACAAAAAGAAAGAAAGAAAGAATGCAAAAGGAAGAAAAAATGGAAAAAATAAAAAAACAAAAAGAAAAAAGAAAGGCAAGCAGAAGAAAGAAAGAAAGAAAATGGAAGAAATGAAAAAAAAAAACAAAGCAGCAAGCAAATAAAAACCACAAACAAAAAAGAATTAATTCAAAAAAGCATAAGAAAGAAGAAAGAAACAAACAAACCACCAAATGGAATGAAATAAAAAAAAACAAAACGAAAGAAAGAATTAATCCAAAAAAGCAAAAGAAAAAAAGAAAGAAAGAAAGCCAAGGAGAAGAAAAAAAAAAAGAAAAATGAAAGAAACAAAAACAATAAAATCATCAAAAGGAAAGAAATAAAAAGCAAAAAGAAAGAATTAATAAAAAAAGCAAAAGAAAGAAAGAAAGAAAGAAAGAAAATGAAAGAAAAAAAAAAAAACCCAAAGTAACAAACAAACAGGCAAACAAACGAACACTCAAAGATTTAGGGACAAAGGAAGAATGGCATTAATAATTAACTGAATGACTCAAAACCTTTTTTTTTCTTTTGGAATCTCGACTTCTGTCACCTTTCAAACGCCGTGACGTGACTTCCCTCTGTCTTTTCTATAACTATTTTCGAGGCACTTGTTCTAATGTGGTGCCTCGACCGCATCAATTTAAGCAGACTACGAGATTGGCAACTACGTCTCGTCGTTTTAGTGTTGAAATAGCTAAATGTAACAGTAAATTTTATACTAGTAGTTTCTTTTCTCGTCCTTCTCACCTGTGGAACTCTCTTCCCTATCACTCCAAATCTTCAAAAATTTAAATGCACTGTCAATCGCGAATCCTGTCCTTTTATAGTCCTTCCTCTCCACTAGTCATTCTCTTCCATTCCTAATAACCCCTTGCGTCTTTGTGACATAATCGCCTTGCTTGGGGTGAAATGATTAAAAAAAATTTCATGGTTCTGATCCCGAAAGAATTATAACTAATTCTCCCGGCATCAGAATGAAGTTTACACAGGAAATATCATCATTTCAACGATATCATCTTCATATTTACACACACACACACACACACACACACACACACACACACACACACACACACACACACACACACACACATATATATATATATATATATATATATATATATATATATATATATATATATATATATTGATAAATGTTTCATTAAATAATATAGACAAGTGTTGTCTATTTATTTTATGTAAATTCTTTTCATAACGTCTGATAAGCTTAATAACATTATCATTAAACGAAGAAAGAAAATCACAACACTGATACATATTTTTTAATCCAATCTTAATATATATATATATATATATATATATATATATATATAATGTGTGTGTGTGTTAGTATGTATATATTTACATGTAATGATAATAAAGAAAACATTTAATTGGTTCTAAATTTATATGTTACGTTTTAAACGAAACTCTAACTTGACAAGAATTTAAAATTTGAAAGTTATCATTAGCAATTGTTCCGAGGAGTAAAATATTAAATCTGAAAATACTTTTTGATAGATTTATCAAATATTAAAAGGAAGAAGAATAAACGAAGAAAGAAAATGGACTTTTCACGTTATGAAATTTATCATCGGATGGTCGGCGACTAAACCGGAACCCCCACTTCAATTTATTGCGAACGAGGCGAGTTGTTAGAAACCCTGTAGTATGAAAAATAAAACCTAACAAAGGTTGGAAGAACCTTTGAGGAACTGATGACCAGCTAACTAGAAAGGTGTCTCAATAAGATCACCGTGGAGAAGTCAACGGGAAACTACTCCACTATCAATCCCAAGAACATTCATGAATCTCGGCAGTAATATTATAAACCAGTGATTCTTAACCTTTTTTGCCCAATGCACCCTTTTCACGTATGTCAGGATGTCACCCCCACACTTTCCAAGATTGTCCGACTCAAAAGTGCATTTTAAATAATATATTATTATTATTGAAAATATTCAAACTTTCCCGTATTAGTACATATACATTTACATGGATTATTTATTTATTTATTTTATATAGAGGAGGGTTGCCTTTTTTCATATTTACGATGGGTTCCAAATTCTGTAAATAAAGAACAAAAAAAATCAAAGATTTTTTTTCTCACCGCCGGAAATTCTCTCCGGGAGTGGAGTCCCCTCCCCCCCGGTTGAGAACCCCTGTTATAAAAGATTATTGGTATCTGCATATCTTTTTTAACTGTAATAGTCAATCTTTTTATTTCTGTGCACTTTTATATAATCGTTCTGGGTATGACGATAAACTACATCCGGCAGCAAAGCCTCTAATCGGGAGAAGGGAGGTTTTGAGGAGCTTGGAACCACCTCTTAATCGCTGTTGTTCCCGGGTCTACCCTGAGTCAGGGTGGTAGCATCTGCTAGGGTTCCAAGTATGGGTAAATAGTGACACCCCCCCAACCACCAACAAAAATCAACAGTACATTTTTATAATAAAATGAGCAAGAATACATTTTTATAGAAAAATGTCAATCAATGCAACATTAAAAAATATAAAAATACATTTTTATAGTAAAATTGCCAACAAGGAATTTTTTATGATCTAAAAAACATACTTTTACTCTGAAAGTAGAAAATTACGTACAAAATATTTTGATTTCAGCATTAAATAACCTATAACAAAATCAACCAACCAACTTTTATTTAGATAAATATATATAATAAAATTACATAAATATACATAAATAAATTGCATAAATAAATAAATTTTTATAACGATGTGAGGGGAGTTACAGATTATTGGGATTAACTCCTCGCGCGGTAAGGAGGGGCATGTGCAACAGGTGGCACCTGGGCGTCAGCCGGCGATTGTTAGCAAAATTACAAAAAGATATAGTGTGAATAGGGTCAAACTCTTTGGAATTGATCTCTCGCCCAGTAAGGAAAACGGCTGTTCACATCAATCAGGAAATGGTTTTAGGGACATAGAAAGTTAGGACACTAAATTAACGTGTCCAACTAGAGAATATAAAGCTAAACGCAAATATATTAATATTTTAGTTGTATGCGAAATAGGGTGGACAAATACAGGCTAATATATGCATGGGAAGGCAAAAGGAAAAAGGGAGTAGGACTCATATTAGACCAAGACATGAAGCAATGTGTTCTGGGATACAATCAAATATCTGATATAGTTCTTATAGTTCAAGGGAATCACAGTTGAAGTTGTATATGCACCGACAGCACAAATTATGTAAGAAGAAATCGAAATGTTTTATTGTACGCTAGACACCACCGAGACTCAGTCCAAATCACAGGACATTACAATCGTTATTGGGGACCTGAATGCCAAAGTAGGAAACGAGAGAGATAAGTGATATAGTTGGAAAATTCGGACTAGGGAATCGTAATAAATGTGGATGAAAATGGGTCCAATATTGCACAGTGAATGATCCGGTAGTAGCCAACAAGTAGTTTCAAGAACACCCACGAAGAATATGCACTACATACCGATCAATAAAAGATTCGGGAATAAAGATCTATACCGGAAAATGCCGACTGTGGGAGCGACCACCTTCCAATAATATGAAATCATACAAAAATTGAAGAGGGCCAAGATGCCACCAAACCCCAATACGGCAGACTCTTAAATGATTCAACTCTGAAAGAGAAGTATATGGATCGTGTTAAAAGTTAAAATTGATTAAAGAAGAACGAAAATTCCAAGTAGAATATATTAAAAGAAGCTTTAGTAACATCAGTAATCGAGCTCACCCCAAAAACACCTAGACAAAAAAAAAAGGAATGTATAACAGATGAAATTCTTGACACAATGAAGAGGAGACAGAAAACAATGCCAAGATATGGCACAGAATATATGTCATTGTCCAAAGAAATTAAGAACAAGTGCAAGCAGACAATCTATTCACATATGAAGAATGTATATATATATATATATATATATATATATATATATATTTATATAGAAAACGACTGACAAGGATCAGATCCTTGTCAGTCGTTTTTAACGAAACCTATATATATATACATTCTTCATATGTGAATAGAAATGAATGAATAAATGAAATAAAGTAGATGTTAGGAGAAAGAAAGAACGAATAGAAAGAAAGAAAGAAAGAAAGAAAGACGGGATGACGCCGGGAGACAGAAATAAAGAATGAATGAAACAGACGATAAAAAATAACAACACAGACGAAGCTGAAAGAAAGCAAGATCGAATGCAAGTCATTTGGAAAGGAGATATGGGATTGAAAGCAAAAAGTTAAAAAGAAAAAGAACACAATGAAGAGAACAATGAAAACACAAGAAAGCCAGTGAAGAACTGAAGAAAATATTTTGTCGGGAACGAAATATTTAAAAAAAATGGAACTATAGAAACATGTTGAAAGAGACGCTAGAAAATGTCATGAAGGATCAAAGTATGAAAAGTGAAAAAAAAGAAACAAAAAGCCCCACCTCCCCAGAAAGAAATATAAAAAAGAGCAAGAATAACAGATTATTAGAAACAAATCAGTACATCCCTAAAAGAGTGAAATAATTTTACGACTGAGTAAAAAGGACGCGATACAAATTAAGCAGAATAAAAAAATATGAGAAAAAAAGAAGAAAAACTGAATGCACAAAACAAAGAACGGTGTTGTGAAAACGACAGAAAAGAAACACCTATAATGAGTGAATTAGGAAGCAAAATAATGTCAATGGTGTAGTAAGGGGGTACGAAGTTTGTTTGGGAAGAGGTGTTGGTCCGACTTCTTGAGTAATTTATTGAACAATGTTGAGTTTCTGGGATCGTCAACATCTGCGCCAAGTGAAAAATTACAGCTCGATTTTATTGGCGAGATTCGCCTTAGCGTCGAAGTGTGCGGCAGTGTGTGAGGTGGGCAGAACGGTGTTGATATCAGAAGGCTGAAGGAGTGCTGGAGTGCGGGGTGAATAAGAAAGCGAAAAGAAGTCTTAATCTAAGATTTTTCAAAACTTCTTGGATTGTCCTCACATCCGCCGTCAGTCATTATCGTCACCGTTGCTGCCTTCTGACTTCCACTGATGACATTAATGTCGTCAGTCTCCTACCCAGCATAGCGACAACGTACAAATAAGAAACTAAACTTTTCTTTTCAATGTAAGTACAAGTGATCCAACATATCCACGGGAAATATGTTACGTGACTCAAATGATGCGTGAAATTACGGTTAGTAAAGGTGTATCTATATAGTTGGTTGATATATATATATATATATATATATATATATATATACGCACACACACACACACACACATATATATATACACACACAGTATAAAGAACCTTTAGATATTGGAGGCCATCTACATTGAAACGAAGCAACACACACTCAACAAAATTACATTTCAAATTAGTCACAACACATTAAATTGCATCTAGACATTGGTTCTGTTGTAATACTTCGGTCTATCGCGTGGTATGACGTCATAGAACTGCATCTTGAACTTACGATCTGCGTCTGCTATTCCGCGACCGTTATCGTCATTTAGCATTTTCCTATGTCAAAATAACAAAATATCAGCTTTAACGGTGGATATCTTTGTTTCATGTCTGTATAACCACTCTGAGAATGGCTCATGTGAGCCGAAAGCTCATGACCAAATTAATAAAAAATATCGAAATGTTGGACAATTTTTGTTTTTATTTTCACCAGAAATTGAAGCAAACACTTGAATATTAGAACGGCTCAGGATCAGACATAATAGACATTCATTGTCTGTTATATTTAACAATATATAACAAAGTAATATATATATATATATATATATATATATATATATATATATATATATATATATATATATATAAAGAAAGAACAGTAAGATATATAATCCGGTGTTCTTATAGATATTTTTATTTTTACAAAATAGTGCTCAATGTAAATTTACAGAGCATTAATATTATAAATTAGCTTCCATTTTTGAAACATGGTTAGAACTGTGTAGCGAAAAAACATATTTTAAATCAATTAATTTATAATATATATATATATATATATATATATATATATATTATTATTATTATTATTATTACTGTAAAGGTTATAATTTAGTAGATACACAATTATATAGATATCTATGCTTTTAAACTCTGCGTTAGTCACATGGAGTGTTTTGTTACCCCAACATTTTTAAAGTACTCGTAATTACTAGTTTGCAACTTGTTTCTGATGTTCTCTCCCACTATACTCCTGTCTCAGTGAGGGTGTCTAACGCAGGGTTAAACAGTGAAATTAATATCGACCGCCCTGCCGAGATTCCTACTAAATAAAATACACCCCCAGACAGAAATTAAAGCATTGTTCCCTTTTTTCTAACCAGGGAAACCACTTTAAACTAACATAATGCAGTTTTGATTCCTGTCGATATATATATATATATATATATATATATATATATATATATATATATATATATAGTCCAAATATATATAGAGAGAGTCCAAAGAAAAAAAATCCAAAACAAGCAAAGCAAAAGTAACTACGTAAAGTGCTCAATACCCTAAGTAGAGCAAACCTAAATAAGAACCTAAAGAACAAGGTAAACCTACCTAGGTTTCACCTATACGGATCGTCAGGGTCAAACTTAAGGATTTTTTCTTTGCAACAAGTATTTATAAACTAGTAAAAATGTCGCTAGTTTTTTTTCAGAATTTTAAAATTTAAGAACGCAAATAAATATACATCAGGTTAACTGAAAGTCAAGGTAAATTATGGATGATGCTAAGTGATGTAATTTAACGTCCGAAAATGAATAAATGTTATTATTGTTGTTGAATTTCCTCTTATAATATAATTATTATTTATATTATTTTAGTTTGAGATTAATTTATGCATTCTATATTTTAAGGTCTGAATTTACTCCTTTTCTTTTATTTTTTAACATTTTATTAGTCATGTATGTTGGCTTGGGAAAGGAGTGTCTCTTTGAGGAAAGGAGATATTTGAAATAATACGGTGCGATGATTTATATTTTGGTAATATTCGACAGCGCACTTTCAAGATTTTTTTTGTCTAAATAAGTTTCTTTCTATTTTATTAAATGTGGCATCCTTTAGATCGAAGTTGTGTACGAATTTATTTCTATGTATGACTTATCCATTTGATAATTTGTTGTGTTTATTTATATTGTCCTTGTAAGGATATATTTAGTTATATCTGTATCGTACGTATAAATATATTTTTTCCACAGATGTTATGAATATAATTATTATAAGTAAAATTTGTCACTTAGCTGATTGATGTTACTTTTCGGATTCCGACCCCAGAGTTTCGTAGACGAACCTGTCCGTCCACTCTTCAGGGGGCATCAGCAATTTATTGATTATAGTTTTCGAGCTGTTCTTTATTATACATTTTATCATTGCTATAATTTTTCCGTATTGTTTGTGTTCGTGTGTGCATTTGCGCTAGTGCGGTCATGAGCCCGTCAGTGCGGATGTGCAACCGCCTGCGCCGACTTGCCTACGTGTAGGGTGACGTGATCATTTGTCCTTTTCTTCGTTTTTCTTTTTTTTCACTTTACACATGCTCTTTAGAACTTTCTCTTTCTTTTTCCACTTTTCTTTCGACAGTCGCCATTTCTGACGAATTGTTACAAACTCAAGACATGCTACCGTTTTTTTTGGGGGGGCGTACTAGTTTTTTGGATTGGGGGAGGTTTTTATTTATTTATTTATTTGTGTGGGGGTAGGGAATTTATATTTCGTTTTTGCATACATAATTGATATTAATACTTAAATAATAAATATTTCACACACACACAAATATATATATGATACTAATGATATTAATGTTTAAATGGTAAGTACTGATATATATATATATATATATATATATATATATATATATATATATATATATATATATATATAAAAGGTAGAGGTTATAGTAGTTTTAACGAGAGAAAAGTGTGTATATTAAAAGAAGAGAACCGCAAACGTTTTTGGTTGTAATGTGAATTTTTTTTTTAAATCGACATTACAACCAAAAAAATGTTTGCGCTTTCTCTTCTTTTTTATATATATATATATATATATATATATATATATATATATATATATATATATAGTTAGTAAATGAAGAAATATAGTTTTAAGGTGCTAAATTTATGAGATATAGTGCTCGATATCAGAGATAGAGCGTATGTAAATATAAATATAAAAGTGAACATTGCAGTCAACACTCAGAGCCGACAGGCTGTTTCATACTGGACGCAATCGTCGGCATGACGATTGCGTCCAGCATGAAACAGCCTGTTACCTCTGAGGTTTGACTTAAATGTTCACTTTATATATATATATATATATATATATATATATATATATATATATATATATATATATATATAAAACGCATGTACTTTTATATCCTCACGAGACTATTATTTTGTTTTCTTATTTGGTTTGGTGACACACCATAAGTATTAATTGTAGGAGGTTAGATTTATATTTAAATTTTTATTTATTCTTGTTTGAATTTATGTGCATATGTTTATATTTATGCACTCATTCATACGTACACGTTCACATCCATGCAAGCACGTATATAGATATATATGCACGTGCTCATATGAACATATAAACGTGTGCACACAGGCACATATACACTTATGGCTGTGCTTTGTTACTAATAAACTATTGCTTAGTGAAGTTATTTTTTTCTATTTTTAGCGTATTAATTATGGTTTGTTCGGTTAATAGAATTGGTTAAAAAGAATGAATGAACAAACAGAAGAAAGTAATAAACAAGAAAGGAACGAGGGTAATGTAAAAAAAAAAGAAAGAAAGAAAGAAAGAAAGAAAGAAAGAAAGAAAGAAAGAAAGAAAGGAAAAGAAAAGAAAGAAAGGAAAAAAAAGAAAGGAAAAGTTTTTGGTTGTTTGAATATTTATATATTCCCGTACACTCATTGAGCACTTTAACACATAAATATAGCATACCTTAAAAACTATATTTTTCATCATATATATATATATATATATATATATATATATATATATATATATATATATAGCAATGTATTGACCTTGAGCTGAGAAAGGCGGGCTAGGATAAAACAAAAAAAAGACAACAACGCCATACTTCATTATGCATATAATCCCCTAAGGGGATTAATAGCATTCTCAGAAAAGGTAATTATTTATAATATGGATTAATTTACACCGAATTCGTAAGGAATAATAAGAACTGACAGTTTACAAACGACCATGCATCATAATAAAACAGTGTTTATCCTGTTCGTTATTGAAGTGAAACTATATTTTAAAAACATATACACAATGACACACGCACACTAACATACATGATAGATAGATAGATAGATAGATAGATAGATAGATAGATAGATAGATAGATAGATAGATAGATAGATGTGTGTAAGGGAGGATGCTATAAGCGTCCTTGGTAGGATATAGACATCGACACGATGCAACTATGGTGTCCAAAAAATATTCGATATTTGTTGAGACAACGCCGTTTTTTTTTTCCCATGTTATAAATTAGCGCAGATAGATGGGTGGAGTTGAGGAGTATGTTTGCATCGATGAAAGAATTAAACATATGTTTGTGTATATAAAAGAAAAGAAAGAAAGAAAGAAAGAAAGAAAGAAAGAAAGAAAGAAAGAAAGAAGGGGGCGGATTATGCTTGTAGAAAGAAAGACGATTAGTAGAATAAAAGAAAGAAAGAAAGATTGATTAGTAAGGCAAAGAAAAGAAAGAAATGCATGATGCTAGTAGAAAGAAAGAAAATCAGTAAGATAAAAGAAAGAAAGAAAGAAAGAAAGAAAGAAAGAAAGAAATATTGCTGAAAAAAAGAGTGTTGGGGTAAAAGAAAGTATAAAAGAAGAAGAAATGAAAATAAAAGGAAAATGCTGTTCTTGTTTGCGCCAAAAGATGGATTAAGGCGGCAACGAAATCTCCCTGCTGAACGATTGGGAAGTGTGAAAGAGGCTTATGTTTCATTTATGTTTCAGTTCAATCCTTCAACAACGGGCTTTCCCATTTTCCGACCTTATTCGCTTCAAACTGCTGCTTTTACGACGGATTTCATCACAACTGTGACAACGATAAAATAAACAACAAACGCATGCATATGTATATATATATATATATATATATATATATATATATATATATATATATATATATATATGTGTGTGTGTGTGTGTGTGTGTGCGCGGACAGCCACGTTTGCGCGTGTGCAATAGGGTTCAGACGGAATACACTGAAAATTTAATATTATTTTAATAGTATAAAATGCATTTATACACGCAATATATATATATATATATATATATATATATATATATATATATATATATATGGTGCTATGGATAAATTGTCGTCTAAATTACGGAAAAGGAAAATAATATTGATATCTTATTTACCAAAATTACACAAAAATATCTTGAAATACTAAAGAGTAAATTTATTCAATAAAATCGCCATTGGCTTCAACTACGGCCTCCAGAACACTTCGGAGTCTTCTACAACTGTTCTGGGCGGTCTCCTTGGTGAATACTGCCATAATCCTTGCTTTCAGTTCCTCTTTGGTTTTTACAAGGAATTTTGTTGTCCTCTCCCACAACTGCGCCCCAAACAGAATAACCAAGGTGGTCGCTGTCTGGGGACTTAGGTGGCCAAATATAAGGGGCGATGTGGTCGCAGGAATTGTCTGACACTCATGACTAGGTTCTTACAGCAGCCACCTTCTTAAAACAGGGTAGCACTACCTCCTCACGGCTCTTGATGTAGGCCTCCGTGTTAAGTTTGATGCCCTGTGAGTAGATGAAAGGAGGAATAACGTCGACATCACCCAAACACCTTTGCAATTACCATTAAACTCATCCTCTGCACTGTCCTCAGATTGACACCCGAACACTCTGAAATGTTCATATTGGAGCTTCCGGCGCGAATGCCAAGCAGTTTCCAAATTTCTGACGGAGTGAATTGCGTTATGGTGCTCTTTTTCACATGGACGGTGCCCAACTAAGCCAACTTAAAAACAAACAACGCGTATGCGAGAAATTAAAAATATGAAATGGCGACAATTTACCCATCGCACTCTATATATATATATATATATATATAAATTGTGTATTTTGGCAGTAATCCCTCTTTTATACAAATTTCATTTAAAACGGCAAGGTAGTGTGTTTAAGCTTTTGATTTAATTTCTCTTGTGTTCTTATAATTTTCTTCTTTTCTAGATATAAATTATGTAAAAATTGTCCAAATGATTTGTATGGCGCTTTCGGCTATACTTTTATCAAAGATGATTTTATTTTTATTTTTAACTGAATCTGTGGATTCCTTTATGTATGTTTTTAGACTTATAGGAATGTTTTATTTTACAAACATTATTAATAAAAAAGAAAAAAGTCAACACTCAATAATATAAATTATGAACACGGCCACACTGTGCTGACTGTTTCTGGAAAATAAAATATTCCTATAACTATAGATACATGCATAAAAGAATCCATACATTCATTTAAAAGTCAAATATATATATATATGGTGGACTCTTCCATCGTATGAGGGTAAAGCAGCTCAGTTCCTAGCAACCCACAGCCAGGCACCAGCTCATATGATTTGATTATAGTGGTGAAGGTTTCGTGCAGAACCATCCACACTTTTTGTAGGGCCGAATACAGAGACCTGGTGCACTACGTGCCACAAGGTCCCCTAACGACCCTCCGCAGGTTTTGAATTTGGAGTTGCCCCTTCTCCTAGACCAGTTGCCATCCAAGGCTATAGAACCCAGTCTGTCCTGCTATTTATCCATAGCTGGAGGGAGAAGAAGAGGATTCATAGGTATTAGCACAATTCAACTGGAATTCGAACTCAGAACTCCGATTCCTCAATACGAGCCCCGCTACTCCACCGTGCCTCCATATAATATATATATATATATATATATATATATATATATATATATATATATATATATATATATATATATATATATATATATATAATGTCACTTAGTTGATTGATGTTACCTTCATCATCCTGATTCCAGAGTTTCGTAGACGAGTTTCGTAGACGAACCCACCTGTCTACGCTTTAGGATATATCAGCAATTAACTGTTTATATTTCACGATTTTTCGTTTTTATATAATTATCATTGGTGCAAGTTTTTTTTTGTTTTGTTTTTTTCGTATCTTTTATGCGTGTACGTGTCGGGTGTCGTGATTATTTGTCCTTTTCTTCGTTTTTTTCTCCACTTTTCATGCATTCCTTAGATTTTTCTCTTAGTTTTTCTTTTCATCTTTTCTTTTCATTTGTAGGTATTTGTTGCTATTTTATTTCTCTGGACATGTTATCGGTTTTAATTTTTGAGCATTCTAATTTTTTCTTGAGTTAGGAAAACTGTTTCGTTTTTTAACATAAATAATATATATATATATGAAGAAAAATATACAGAAAAAACAAACAAAAATCCTTATATGCAATTATGCTGTTTTAATGTTAATATAATGTCATTATATTAACATTATATTAAATTATGCTGTTTTTAATGCATATTTTGTTTGTTTTTATAATGTCGGATCTATATTATATTAACATTATATATATATATATATATATATATATATATATTTATAATTATTTTTATAAAACAGCATATTTATTTTTTTCAACATATAACTTGAGAAGACAAGAATGTGTTGAAACAAATGGCTTTTTGTAGTGATCTTTTGTTATAATTTTTTATAAAATAATTATATCTGCTCTATATTCCTTTTAAGAATATATTTGGAATTCATTCCGTATATACCAATTATATATATATATATATATATATATATATATATATATATATATATATATATATATATATACACAGAGCAACCTCGGTTGTCGAACGTCTCACATGTCGAACAAATCGGTTTTAGAACAGAAAATTCGAAATGAAAATGCCTTTGTTATCTAAAAAAATATTCAGTTCTAGAACAACACTGCTGAACCGAGTTAACCCGAACGGAATAATTTCTGAGTCGTATGCATTCGGGTGTTGTGGCGTGTTTGTTTTTAGTTGTTTTTTTTTAGTTTTCTTTGTTTTTGTTTTTTTGTTCAAATTTTATTGTACCGTGACTTTTCTTCCCTACATTGATTCATAGTAGAAAAATAGTTTCCGTTTACGAACGGCCTTCAGGAACGAATTAAATAAGTGGACTAAGGTTCCACTATATATATATATATATATATATATATATATATATATATATATATATATAATGGACTCTCCCGTCGGTTTCGACGTATGAGGATCTGATAGCTTACTTGATTCACTTATGAAATTTTATGCCATAATCTTAAGTGGCATTTAAGACCCGCTAGTGATTTACAAAGGAGGCCACATATGTGTGAGGATTGTGAGGAGATCACTGTTAGATCTTGATCTCGCTTCTTGAAGATGATTCAGACAAGCAGATTGAAAATTGCTAAGTCCACTAAAACATGTTGATCTCCATTCTACTTGCTCCAAGGCTAAGCGCTCAAGGGTGTTAGTGGTATATTGACAGCTGACAAGTTGCTTTTCAGCTTGTCTTTGTAGCCATAGGTGTCCTACATTCCTGTAGCCCTGATCTAACTGGCTGTACATTAGGATCTTGGGTGTCCTGTCATCAGACATTCTCAAGACATGACCAATCCACCGTAACTGAGACTGTATGATAAAAGTCTCGATTCCTCCAATATTACACCTGTTAAACAGGTGTACGTTAGATGTTCTATCTTGAAGGTTAACTCAACAGATCGCACGCAGACAGCTTTTATGGAAAACATCTAGCTGGCGTATATGGTACCTGTATGGAGTCCACGACTCTGAGCCATGCAAAAGGACAGCAAGTACAACAGCTCTGTAAACCTGAATATATATATATATATATATATATATATATATATATATATATATATATATATATATATATATATGATAGATGGATATACTGCGCACCGGTAGAAAAGACATATGTTTGAAGAGGGGTTAATATATAGCCATTTTAAAATGGCAATGCTATAAATAAACATAAAATACAGCACTACTTCGTGTATCTGTACCGTGATTTTCCGGGCTTCGATTATTCGAATGTGAAATAAAAAGACAAATCTCAAATCATCCGAGCATTTTTCAATAATCAGAACTTAACACGTTTTAATGTTTCAAATGTTTAATCTCAGAAAGTGTTTTGAAAATGCAGAAAAGCCATTTGCAATGTTTGAAGAAAAATGTTTGATAAAATCAGTTCAATTAATTCTTGTTAATTTCTTGATGTAATATAATAAATAAATAAATAAACATACATTTGAATTATCCCAGCTTGGTTACGTTGGAGATTTATGACTTATGCTACTTCCAGATGCGTGGGAAAGCCACCTCTAACTGAAAATGCCGCCATTGATAACGTTTTAGTTCCGATCGCTGTGACGATGGAGGGTTGAGCAATTTGACAAAGCGTTAAACATCGATGTAAATGAAGCAGAAATAAAAATGACTGGTTCAGTGCAGACGGACGTTTATATGAACACCTAAGTGATCGGGGGTATTGTTGGAGTTATAATCACGCAGGAAAATGGTGAATAGAAGGAGGAGGAAGAAGACAATGATATTCACTATGCTGAAGTTCAATATCCCCAATGCCCAATTTCAAACACCGAAGCAATGATTATGTTTGACAAAAATGATATGAACACCTAAGTGATCGGGGGTATTGTTGGAGTTATAATCGCGCAGGAAAATGTTGAATAGAAGGAGGAGGAAGAAGACAATGATATTCACTATGCTGAAGTTCAATATCCCCAATGCCCAATTTCAAACACCGAAGCAATGATTATGTTTGACAAAATGATATGAACACCTAAGTGATCGGGGGTATTGTTGGAGTTATAATCGCGCAGGAAAATGTTGAATAGAAGGAGGAGGAAGAAGACAATGATATTCACTATGCTGAAGTTCAATATCCCCAATGCCCAATTTCAAACACCGCCTCAATGATTATGTTTGACAAAAAAAAAAATGATATGAACACCTTTGATCGGGGGGTATTGTTGGAGTTATAATCACGCAGGAAAATGTTGAATAGAAGGAGGATACAATGATATTCACTATGCTGAAGTTCAATATCCCCAATGCCCAATTTCAAACACCGAAGCAATGATTATGTTTGATAAAAAAATGATATGAACACCTAAGTGATCGGGGGGTATTGTTGGAGTTATAATCACGCACTGAAAATGTTGAATAGAAGGAGGAGAAGAAGACAATGATATTCACTATGCTGAAGTTCAATATCCCAATGCCCAATTTCAAACACCGAAGCAATGATTATGTTTGACAAAATGATATGAACACCTAAGTGATCGGGGGGTATTGTTGGAGTTATAATCACGCAGGAAAATGTTGAATAGAAGGAGGAGGAAGAAGACAATGATATTCACTATGCTGAAGTTCAATATCCCCAATGCCCAACTTCAAACACCGAAGCAATGATTATGTTTGACAAAAATGATATGAACACCTAATGATCGGGGGTATTGTTGGAGTTATAATCACGCAGGAAAATGTTGAATATAAGGAGGAGGAAGAAGACAATGATATTCACTATGCTGAAGTTCAATATCCCCAATGCCCAATTTCAAACACCGAAGCAATGATTATGTTTGACAAAATGATATGAACATAAGGATCGGGGGTATTGTTGGAGTTATAATCACGCAGAAAAATGTTGAATAAAAAGGAGGAGGAAGAAGACAATGATATTCACTATGCTGAAGTTCAATATAATGCCCAATTTCAAACACCGAAGCAATGATTATGTTTGACAAAAATGATATGAACATATGATCGGGGGGTATTGTTGGAGTTATAATCACGCAGGAAAATGTTGAATAGAAGGAGGAGGAAGAAGACAATGATATTCACTATATATGAAGTTCAATATCCCCAATGCCCAATTTCAAACACTGAAGCAATGATTATGTTTGACAAAAAATGAACACCTAATTGTTGGAGTTATAATCACGCAGGAAAAATGTTGAATAGAAGGAGGAGGAAGAACAATGATATCAAATGCTGAAGTTCAATATCCCCAATGCCCAATTATAAAAACACCGAAGCAATGATTATGTTTGACAAAAATGATATGAACACCTAATGATCGGGGGGTATTGTTGGAGTTATAATCACGCAGGAAAATGTTGAATAGAAGGAGGGAAGAAGACAATGATATTCACTATGCTGAAGTTCAATATCCCCTAATGCCCAATTTCAAACACCGAAGCAATGATTATGTTTGACAAAATGAATGAACACCTAAGTGATCGGGGGTATTGTTGGAGTTATAATCACGCAGGAAAATGTTGAATAGAAGGAGGAGGAAGAAGACAATGATATTCACTATGCTGAAGTTCAATATCCCCAATGCCCAATTTCAAACACCGAAGCAATGATTATGTTTGACAAAAATGATATGAACACCTATGATCAGGGGTATTGTTGGAGTTATAATCACGCAGGAAAATGTTGAATAGAAGGAGGAGGAAGAAGACAATGATATTCACTATATGAAGTTCAATATCCCCAATGCCCAATTTCAAACACCGAAGCAATGATTATGTTTGACAAAAATGATATGAAACCTAATGATCGGGGGTATTGTTGGAGTTATAATCACGCAGGAAAATGTTGAATAGAAGGAGGAGGAAGAAGACAATGATATTCACTAAATGAAGTTCAATATCCCCAATGCCCAATTTCAAACACCGAAGCAATGATTATGTTTGACAAAAATGATATGAACACCTAAGTGATCGGGGGTATTGTTGGAGTTATAATCACGCAGGAAAATGTTGAATAAAAGGAGGAGGAAGAAGACAATGATATTCACTATGCTGAAGTTCAATATCCCCAATGCCCAATTTCAAACACCGAAGCAATGATTATGTTTGACAAAAATGATATGAACACCTAAGTGATCGGGGGTATTGTTGGAGTTATAATCACGCAGGAAAATGTTGAATAAAAGGAGGAGGAAGAAGACAATGATATTCACTATGCTGAAGTTCAATATCCCCAATGCCCAATTTCAAACACCGAAGCAATGATTATGTTTGACAAAAATGATTAAGGATCGGGGGTATTGTTGGAGTTATAATCACGCAGGAAAATGTTGAATAAAAGGAGGAGGAAGAAGACAATGATATTCACTATGCTGAAGTTCAATATCCCCAATGCCCAATTTCAAACACCGAAGCAATGATTATGTTTGACAAAATGATATGAACACCTAAGTGATCGGGGTATTGTTGGAGTTATAATCACGCAGGAAAATGTTGAATAAAAGGAGGAGGAAGAAGACAATGATATTCACTATGCTGAAGTTCAACATCCCTAATGCCCAATTTCAAACACCGAAGCAATGATTATGTTTGACAAAATGATATGAACACCCTAAGTGATCGGGGTATTGTTGAGTTATAATCACGCAGGAAAATGTTGAATAGAAGGAGGAGGAAGAAGACAATGATATTCACTATGCTGAAGTTCAATATCCCCAATGCCCAATTTCAAACACCGAAGCAATGATTATGTTTGACAAAATGATATGTTTGATCGGGGGTATTGTTGAGTTATAATCACGCAGGAAAATGTTGAATAAAGGAGGAGGAAGAAGACAATGATATTCACTATATTGAAGTTCAACATCCCCAATGCCCAATTTCAAACACCGAAGCAATGATTATGTTTGACAAAAATGATATGAACACCTAAGTGATCGGGGGGTATTGTTGGAGTTATAATCACGCAGGAAAATGTTGAATAGAAGGAGGAGGAAGAAGACAATGATATTCACTATGCTGAAGTTCAATATCCCCAATGCCCAATTTCAAACACCGAAGCAATGATTATGTTTGACAAAATGATATGAACAATGATCGGGGTATTGTTGGAGTTATAATCACGCAGGAAAAATGTTGAATAGAAGGAGGAGGAAGAAGACAATGATATTCCCTATGCTGAAGTTCAATATTAATGCCCAATTTCAAACACCGAAGCAATGATTATGTTTGACAAAAATGATATGAACACCTAAGTGATCGGCAATGGGGGTATTGTTGGAGTTAGTTATAATCACGCAGGAAAATGTTGAATAGAAGGAGGAGGAAGAAGACAATGATATTCACTATGCTGAAGTTCAATATCCCCAATGCCCAATTTCAAACACCGAAGCAATGATTATGTTTGACAAAAATGATATGAACACCTAAGTGATCGGGGTATTGTTGGAGTTATAATCACGCAGGAAAATGTTGAATAGAAGGAGGAGGAAGAAGACAATGATATTCACTATGCTGAAGTTCAATATCCCCAATGCCCAATTTCAAACACCGAAGCAATGATTATGTTTGACAAAAATGATATGAACACCTAAGTGATCGGGGGTATTGTTGGAGTTATAATCACGCAGGAAAATGTTGAATAGAAGGAGGAGGAAGAAGACAATGATATTCACTATGCTGAAGTTCAATATCCCCAATGCCCAATTTCCAAACACCGAAGCAATGATTATGTTTGACAAATGAACACCTAAGTGATCGGGGGTATTGTTGGAGTTATAATCACGCAGGAAAAATGTTGAATAAAAGGAGGAGGAAGAAGACAATGATATTCACTATGCTGAAGTTCAATATCCCCAATGCCCAATTTCAAACACCGAAGCAATGATTATGTTTGACAAAATGATATGAAATCGGGGGTATTGTTGTTAATCACGCAGGAAAATGTTGAATAAAAGGAGGAGGAAGAAGACAATGATATTCACTATGCTGAAGTTCAATATCCCCAATGCCCAATTTCAAACACCGAAGCAATGATTATGTTTCAAAAAATATGAAAACCTAAGTGATCCGCAGGAAAATGTTGAATAAAAGGAGGAGGAAGAAGACAATGATATTCACTATGCTGAAGTTCAA